AACGGTTACATCCGATGAAGGCAACGTTTCCAGGAAATATGGCAACGTTTCCAGGAAACTAGGGCAGGGAGAGAAAAAGAACAAAAGTTGATTTCATCTGTGGAGCGGCAGTCTTTCCAGGTTTTTCCTATTTAAATAAAGGTTAGAAATGATTAAGCACGTTTCGAGAATCAGATTGCGTCCGGATTGGACAGCCGAAACTACAGTATAACCAAGCTTTTCTTCAACCTTCCAACAATATTATGCCATTATGTCTATTCGTAGCCCTTCAAAATGATTGAATATGCTATGGTCCGTCCATTTTTTCATTAATTTTTGTTTCATCGATTTCCCGCGCCGATAGAGCCAGGCACTTCAGGACTGCAGTGAATTCCCTTGCACAAAATATACTGGGGATTGAAAGAATATTCGCTCAATTCAATCTTCCAACTACTTGAAGGCTGTGGATACAGTGAAAAATCGCCTTGTACCATGAGAAACACGCCTAAGAAAATCACATTTAAAAGAAGAAATTGGTGGGCGATCTTCCTTATCCAATCAAGAGGACTATTGTTTACGTGAGCTGCAGCGGATTGCAAGGTAGAGCAATTATAAGCTTTAATTCTCTTCCGTGTAATAAAAAAATACTGGAGAATGATATTTTTTCCGCAACTTCTTCTAGGACTGCTTATCGTTGAATTTCGAGTTTCTGCGAGCCATCGACATCCTATTCAAAGCTTCCGTTCGACATGGAGTTTATTTTTATGAGTGCCAATGTTGCTCGATTGGTATATTTGGCAGTTGAAAACCGATTGAGACTAATCTCCTGTCGTTTTATACGGAGATAACTACGAGGGCCCATTTTATTTAAAGAAATCGCGTTGAACGGAAATTTTAAGAAAGGGAAATGCATCCATAATTTTCTTTTGGATTATGGATTTCTGTGCAGGATCATTATCAGGATACTCATTTATGTAATCACTTATTTAACTCAAAGTAAAAAAAAAAACAAGTGGTTGTTCTCGTCTTCAGAATTGAATTGTTTCAAACAGCAGTAAACTATTTGTTCCATCCTGGACTGTTTCCAATACACAATTTCGTCCTAGCGTAAATTATGTCTATTTTAGAGGTGGTGGAGTTACCTAGTTTACGAGGAGGCCGAGTTGCCTGGCTTGGGAATCATAATTATATTATGTTACGAAAATATCTGCAGGGATACCAATAACTCATTTGGCAGAAAAGAAAATTAGGCTCGGAAACTCACTCGTCGTCCAGGGCTTTGGTGACTTTGTCTCGGATCTCTGCCGTGGTGATGGTGTCGAAGTCGAAATCCTTTTTCCACAGAAGAAGAGAGCTGGAGTAGATGCACTTGTCATCGTACAGGACACTGCCTTTCTCGTTTTCATCTCCTCCGAAGATCTCGACGCCGGGTGAATCGTCTTTCCAACCGTAATTGTAGTCGAATTGCGAGGATTCTTCTGCATCGTCTTGCACCGGTTTGACCAGGCTCGATTGTGGGGATTTTCTTGTCGTTGCAGATATTGATGTTGGCGTTGTTTCATCCATTGCTGATTTATTTTTCTCTGTGGTCTGTGACGGTAATGGTGACGGTGTTGCCGGTGTCCTTGGGTTTATTCGGCCGCTGGAATTATTCCTTGAGTCAGTTTCTATCATTCGTAACGAACCGCCAATAGATTCCACGAGAAGCACAAGATCATCAGATGAGTCATTTCCCCCTGAAGGAAACGAAAGAACCTCCATACATCAGAAGAATCACATAAATTTCTGGTCTGAGGAGTGTGGAGAACAAGGTCGAATGAAGGTCTCTTTCCCCCCCTCCCCCACAAGAAAAAATATAAATAAAAAAGGGAATGAATAAGTCATGAACATAATAACATCTTCGTCAAATATCAGCTGCATCTGACTTTCCCTTAAAAAGTTATGACCAAAAAAAGTTCAAATGTTAGGTCAAAATCGAACTTTGTTTGACCGTATCTTTTGAAAGAACTCTTGGATGCAGCTGATATTGACAGAGAGATTCATAAGCCTGAGCGAATTTTTTCCAGCGGCTAAAAAATGACAGCAAGTTGGTAGGTGGCGCTGCTGTCGACATCATCGCCCTCTATCGGCATGCAGCGCCACCTAGCGGCATGGGGAAAACCTTCTTCACTGATGAACCTCTCTGTCAAATATCACCTGAATCTGACTTTCCCTTGGAAGTTATAGTCAAAGAAAATAGGGCCGTGACTATAATAATCATGTATCACTGAAAATTGAGAGAGCCAGTTATGAGCCTAAACCTGTTTCTCAGCCGCAAGTTTTGGTGCAGTTTGACTTTGTTTTGAGAGCCCTTTCAATGACCAAAGTTTGGTGAAAATCTGAAATTATCACTTGGGTAGTGTTCCTTGTAAGTGCGATTCAAATATTTTCAATGTAAAAGAGTGCCGTTTGCCTCCACGTCCTGGTTTTGGCAACGAGGATCTTCCCAGATACAAGATTCGGTGTCCTCGTGCTCAGGGGCATCCGAGCGAAACCCGGAAGGCTAGGAATGGAGTCCGAACGACGGCAACCTCTTTTTCCGCCTGTCCCGCTGCGTTTTCAACACCGTCTACCGAGCAGCGTCGAGGCAAAACACGCGCCATTCTGCGTACTACGTCTACATATGCGAGTTGCCCCTTCGGCACTCTGCAGGACGGCGAAGAGGGTCTGTGAATGGGTGTAGTGTCTGTGGGTGCAGTGTCTGCGTCATGCAACATCCTTTTCTCGCCGCGTCGTCATCGATAAATTCCCTCACTCGTGTGTCTGCATCGTGTCCCGCGTCTTTATGTGAAATAATCAACTTTGTCCGGAGAGGACTCAAACCGGCAAACCAAACTCTCTACTGGCAAACATTCTGGTTATATACACCGGAATCTGTATTGCTGAATGGAGCTCTAAAAGGACCCGAGTCGAATCAGCTGATTGATTCCAGGACGATATTTGTAAGACGTATGGAAATCCCAAAGGAAAGAACTAACCATAAAAGCTGTAGATTCCGAGTTCCTCGTCGGTCTGATATCGGAAGGCGGTCTCTCCGGCGCGGAAGGGACGCGGAGTCCGGGACGGCAGGGGACGCCAACCGGGAGAAAAATCCCGCCTTTCTTCCGTCATCTCGGAATACACGGATTTGCATTCCCGGCTCAGGTTATATTTCTTCACCAGCTCGTGCACGTCGCAGGAATCTGCGAAGAGGGAAAAGCGGCGGGTGATGGCACCGACTTTCTCGTCGAGAGAGACGGCCTTTCGGAAGGACGATGAATCCCTGGGAAAAACTCGAAAAACGGTGCAGGGAAATGGATCCGTTACTTTCGCGAGCTCATAAGATGGTTTCACGGCAACAAGACCTGCACGACTTTCATCGAGAGACCGAGTACCCAGTTCCTCCACAGATAACGAGGCCTCAGAACGTCGCTGCAATGACGGGCTGGAAAAAGCGGAGAAGCCCGCTCCCGACCGAGGGGAAATCCCTGGACGGCCGAGAAAGTTTCACCCGAGTAAGTTTCACCCGAGTTTCGCCTTTTTTATCGATCGGGTTCAGGCGCGAAAAATGCGAACGTGCTCCCATTCGATAGCCACGTTTGAGGCGAGCGAACCCTTACGTTCTCCCTTTTCTGCATTGCAAGGATCAAGTCTGCAGTGTCATTTCGCGACACGATCTAATGCGGACGAGAATTTCGGCACGGAGTGGAACCAATAAAAAGGGGTTTATTTTACTCGAGCATCTCTGAAGACAAAACGCAAAAGCAGCAATACCCCATTAGCTTCAACGGTTATAGGTCATGATCGAAGTGCACTATTTCACGGACCAACCCGAGAAGTTGATGATCGAATGAACTGGCCGTTTCTCCGATCCCGCTCACGAAAGACCATTAACATTACCTCTATCTTCCTTTTCTTTGATCCTTTTTTTCGCACGCACTCGTGCACCTTCGATCGCCGAACGTGTCGCACTTCCAACCTTTAAAGGCCTATTTTGTTCTGTCGGAGACTCCCGCGAATCGCGTCATCGGCCACTTCTACATTAGGAAATGCCTGGGTCTTCTCACCGTTTTTAACTCGATATTGCCTGATTCTCGGAAGCGAGACGAGATGGCTGGCGAAATCTCCCACCAGTCCGTTCCCGTTCTCGAAGGCGGCTCCGTTGTAAAGTCGCTCGGGATGGAGTGCCGGTAGAAGGCTGTGGTTCAGGAAAGGGAACACGCTGTCGGGGAAAACAAACGATGAAATCGTCCGAATGAATCCCCGAGTCCAGTTTTCATCGGTTGCACGCAACGCGAACTCCGCTTTCGTCGCGCTTTATTTTATTTGGATTCCGCCTTCCCGAGTGATTTCGACGTTCGTGACGGTGTCGTGCCTTTCCCGCATACGAAAGCCTCGGTCTCGGACAATTAATGCATTCTCCCCATCGAAGTCATCGGTTGACAAAATCATCAAGTAACAAAAGTCTCGAGACGCTTAAATTCCGAATTTGGTATTTCGATTCGAGATTCAAAATTTCATGGCTTCGTCGCGAAAGCTGCTCACTTTTCCCTCTTCAATCGACCGTGTTCCTTGGCTTCCCGCCTCATTCGTTATCGTTCTTTGGCTCTGGCCGTGACCGTTACGCTAAGGGCACGAGAACTGACGCGGATACGACGGACTCGAACGCGCACGAGGACGAACCGAACGAGAACTCACTGCCTCTTGTCTCGGACTTCCTGGAAAGGAAAGTCCTCTGTGGGATTCCGGAACGGAGACCCCTCGACCCCGCCGTAGGTGTGACGGACCCCGGCCATGACCTTCACGCCCGCGACGAAGCGGCGGTACGGCCCGTGCCGCCTCGCGTCGATCGTCAGGAGGAGAGCCGCGTAGAAGAGGGAGAACACGGCGAGGTCGAAGAGGTCCTGGCCGGCCTGCGCCCGCTGCATCTCGCGGAACCGACGCACCTGAGATCGGTTCGGGGGAGCGTCATGTCGCTCTCGAAAATATCGTACCGACATAGGTAATTACAACCTATACTGGAGGCAATTTATGTCTTGTCGAATACGATTCATTATTTAAAAAAATGTCTGGAATTATTGATGAATATTTTTGCAATTAAGTATACAGGTTTCAGCAGCTGTTTCGCTGCATTCTTGCAAATATTCTAACTTTTTCACCTTTAAGTTTTTCGTAGATGCAATCGCTACGCCCAAAGAAACAAAGTCTTTGATGTAACTAAGCTGAGCCTTGCAATAAACTTTCACTTCCTCTAATTAAAATGTCTTGGAAAACCTTTGAAAAATCCTCTTCAGAGAATCCCAATGGTCACCCAAAGACCTATTCTGGAAAACATCTATTAGCCCAGCCGAACGAGAGAGGGGAAAGTAGCAACGATGATTTGACGACAGGCCGAATACGTTACAGTATTTGGAAAGTTCCTGGAAAGCAAAACTCAATACTTTCCCAGACTGAAGAATGATAATTGAATATTTGATTTAGTATCAGGGAGATGAGAGTGCTAATGATGGGAGTCGATAGTTCTAATGGACTCTTGTCAGCTGGAATTGCTTATAGGGCAAGGCTTATAGGTCCCTTCGGTGATCCCTTTCCTCAAAATCGGATCTACATCCATGGGAGGGCACACTGACATCCTTCGCAGCTAAGGAATAGGAAAAGAAGGATCTTCGACCTTCGGAGTGAGGCTCCTAATGGAACCATCCTTCTCATTCAGGATCAGGATTGCCACGAGTCGATCTGGACTGTTTAAACCAATGCATCGAGGAATTCGAGTGCCTTTCCCCCACGTAGTCTGAGGGAAAAGATCAGGTACCGCGTAAAAAGTATTGGGGACTTTCAGCGAATCACTCCCTGATATCACCGAACCAGCAGATAGTTAGGTGCCATCTCGTTTCATTTGTGGGAACCTCGTTTATTCGAATTGCCAAAGTGGGCAGCCCACTGCGATGTTGGCCCATTCTCAGCCAACGTGCCGTCTGAGCGATCATATGCTCAGGAAACCCAAACGCTTACGCATCGTGTACCTGAAAGTGACTGTGATAGAAATGACGAAAAACAACTTTTCCGGAATATTCTTTTGCTTGCTGCCTCCCTCCCTCCTTTTCGTTTCTGAGGAAGTTCTTCCGTTTCCTGCTCGAGTAGTCGATGCTGACTTGCAGTTGGATCTTAGTCGTGACCATCGAGAATTGGAACATCCCTGAGGTGATTCTCAGACATGCCCGACATCGAGCCAAGCCACATGACTGGAGCGTCTATGCAAGGGCTCACGAGGAGAGGGAATACAAAAACATTTTTCTCCCCCCCCCCCCTCATACTATTGAACCAGGATAGACAAACTAAAGGAGTAGTACCTTTGAATCCTGCGTTTAACAAATTAAGGATTTATGTCCCTAATTTAAGAAATCCAAGTGTTATGGCTGGAAAGTTCGATGATAGCGAACAGACCAGGGAATGTGACAATTCGGGTCATTACATTATCCACACGCAGTAAAGAAGCTGATATTTGTCGTCAAACCAATCGATTTCCATAATGAGATAATTTAAAAGAATGCAATCATGTTTTTGTTGGGATACATCCAATGACTTCCATCCATATCGAGTCTTTACGCCGCGAAAAAACCCCGTGTATCCTAGACATGCTGGTGCTGAATCGTGGCGGATTTTAGCCACTTCGCATTATTGAAAAAGTCCTGAGAGATTTTGAATGCGTTTAAGCATCTTGGATCCGTGAAAGATAGGGTGAAGAGCATCGATGATGCAGTAGGCTCCTGGCAATCGTTTCGACAAAGGAATGATACGAAAACCTTCTGAGATCATACCTCGACAGAATGAGAGCACGAAGGCAATCATGAGATGGCATTCACAACTGGAATGATTCCTTGTTGAAAGAAGTCATGCTTTGATCGAAACACTGTTTTCCTCTGTTATGTCGTATACTTTTCTGGGGAGGAGAAAAAGGTTTCTCGACTCCCCGAATATTTTATACCGACGGCGCTTCATAGATTCCCATGTTGATCGAATCACTGCCGTAAACACTGCAATTTCGCCACTTACACCGTAGAGTAGAGAGTGTAACTAGAGGCGATACTCCGAGGGGTGGGGGGGTCGAAACATTACAGGGACGTCTGATGGCTTGTTATCAACATGAGGCGTGCTTCGTGGCAGCAGAATCGGAAATCGACTCATTCGGGGATTCGACCTAAAGGGATCCCTCGACGTAACACGCGCGTCTCGTCGAGTCCACTGCTCGGCCATGCTCGTGTACTCGGTTCATGTGCGCACATTAGGTGGAGGATCGACAGTGACATCCATATTGCGACCTTGTCGACGAATGGGATTCGAGCGGAGTGGAGCCTCTAGTTACACTCTCTGTTCTATGGTTATACGGACCTTTCCGATGCAAGGCCTTCGGCTATATCGGGAGTGGAGTGATGCATGCACAATGGGCTCTCTGCCGCCACCCCTTCCAACCTCGATTGCAACTCGGTGAGGGTGACCTTCCCGAACGCACGCAGCAACCGAGTAGGGAAACGGAGCAGCTTGTCTAAACCACGAATCTCGCATCCTGTCTCGCCAACCCTTCGAACGGTAGAACCAGTGAAGTCCCCGGAACCATCAGATGACTCAGCATGGACTCTGACTCCAGAGATTAGCAGAACGAAAACGGGAACGGAAACATCCACCTATTCTAAAATCTCGAGTGGAAACACGAAATTTAGAAATAAGCGGAGCGGATACACATTTTTTTAGAAATGAAAATGTCCTCAAACCCACTTCATCGTAACCAAGCACAAACTATACTCGGACTAGGATTATTGATCCACCGACCAAAACTTACGCCCACGCGGGATCCGGCTCAGCCACATCGAAAGAGAGCCCGACCGGGAAAAACGAACCAGACCGTCGGGATGGAGAAGCGAGACTGGCGATCTTCGGCTTTCCTACCCGGCACGGTCGAGCAAGTTTTCGCTTGCACTCGCGCAGCCTCGGGCTATATTCACCCTCCATCCCAATCTTCCCCAATCGACAGAGTTGTCCTATTGTAGTTTAACAAGAATATGCTTGTACGTTACTTTTTTTTTTTACAGCAGACAGTAAATGCGTCTCTCATGATCGTGAAGAGACGGATAATGAACAGCAGAGATGGTTCAAAGAGCTCGAGACCTTTGGCCTCGTTTTTTGAAGTACGGTCGGAAATCCTCGGCCCCAGGAACTAGATTCGTAACGACTCGCCTGCCTGCCCGTGAAGCCCGTGGCTGTCACCCAATTTTCCTCGTGTGGGTTACAGAAGGGGGAAGGGGGGAGAATGAGATAACCCTCGCGTGGAACTCGGGGGGGCTATGATCCGATTCAGGCAGCGACTCGTTTCTGTTTCGCCTTCCCGAGTCCAGACAGAGATTTCGGGCTTCACCCAGTCAGAGCGGAGAAACAAAGGCTAAAAAATGGAGACCCTTAGGGTCGAGGAAGAATCGGGAAGAATGCCTCTTTCACAGACACGGCGTCTCGACATCAGACGCCGATATGCCCCGCCATTTCCCCGTCCGAGATACTCTCTTCCTTCCATCCAACTATTTTTTTCCACCCAAGGATCTGGAAGCATCCAAGTGGTACGTTCCAATCGGCTTTCCTGCCCGATTTCCGTTCGCACTCGACAGAGAACGGTCTCCAGTAGCGATTCCTATTTCCTAATCGAGAATCCAACTCCGAGAAGCGGGATACACCTTCGAAACGATTCGACGGAACGCTCAAAAAACGTACTAAGAGAGCTTCTAATTTGGACTTCCGAGGGTCTTTCGACGGTGACCCTGGAAGAAACCCGTGAGACAGCATTGTGACCGCATTTCGTGCACAAAGTTGTGCTCTTTCATCCCCTGACCCCGCAGTGGATCTTGCCGCAGAATGAGTTTCAACTTCCCTCCCTTTTTTCGTGGCATTTTGAGAGCAGCACCAAAATTCAAGGTAGTAATATAGAGCACAAACTGAATACTGGAGACTTACGTGAAGCAGTGAAACCGGAGACTGGTGACATGACAAAACGAAAAAGATGATTGCCAGCAGTTGCCATAGCAGCAACGTCCGTAGCCGACAATGCCTCGTACTCTCATTGTTGGTTGTGAGCACTTCCCCCGGGTATAGTATACTAGCAGAGGTACCCGGCGATGCGCGGATGAATATTATATACTGAATATATTTGATGAATATATTTGTCTGCACTAAATAAGGTACCCCGGTGCTGGGGCAGGCGGGGGAAGACTCGGACGGAAAATTCGAATTTTGAAACGTCACCTAGCTTATGACCATCCCCGGACCAAAAGAGGAAGCCATGCTAAGTTTGGTCGGACTGGGATCAGAGGCGTGGCCGTGCAAAAAGGACAGACAGACACACAAACATTCGAAAATACGGTATAGATAATAAGTTTCGCCTCCAGGTTACGATTGACACCTCGATCCTGAAAATCCGATCAACCGTCAAGGAGTTTCCGGGTGGATATGGATTATGTATATGAATTTCCCATTCCGAGAATCGATTAGAAATCGCAAATAAACAGGGTGGGGGATCGGGAGATCCATCTCACCGCGGGATGCAGATTAATTTGCATCTATATCATCGCCTGGCCCCTTTCAGTTGGGAGAAGACACCTTTAAAGGTATCGTGTGGCGCCTTAGATGAAAGGGGAAAATTTTCTTCTACTTTAGATTCCATCTAATGCAATTCATGTAACGACATCATTCTGATCTCTGTATCCGTTCTTGGTTTATGCACGAAGATGTCCTGCAACCCTGCATGCATTCTTTATGACCCAATATTCCTTTTATAGATGATTTTGAGCCCAAAGTTCGGGGCTCGCACTCACGAGGGCCTTCTTGCCGTAGAGGGGATAGTAGAGGAGCTGGACGGATCGGTCCGCGACGAAACGCCAGAAGCCGGGTCGCAGCGGCGCCCTTCGCGGCAGGGTCCCCCGCCTCTGCTGCCGCTTCACGGCGTCCAGCCTGTCAGGGAGCATCGCGGGTCTTCGAGCCTGTCGCGTCGGGAACAGGGGGATGCAAGACTAGTCGTTAGGGTTTAGAACGTCTTAGGAGAATGAAGATTCCTAAAGGGGTATACAGGAAGTTTCTATCGTGTTGCCGCACGTATCATTACAATGTGTTGTACCTCGAATCGATGGCAACAACTTGGACAACTTCCACGAGAGGAAAACGAGCAAAATTCAAATAAATGAAAATGTATCCAACGAATTCATTTCCTCCCTTTTTTTTCTAAACCACGATCGTGCTCAGATGTTGGATTCTCTGGCGAGAAGTGAGATTTTCACTCGAGTCCACTCACCTCCGCACAGCGTGAATACACGACGGTGAAGAGATAGAGAAAAAGGATCGGGAGGAGAAGGTGATTGGTGAGGCAGGCCACGACCACGACCATTCCCCATTGCTTCTGTCTCTTCGCTCCGTATCTGAAAAAATCCAGGAGTTGGGTAGGTATCTGTTTTCGTAAGACGACCTCGAGAGCGTCCGACGGGGCTCTGGTGGGTTTTCTATGTAGGATAAGTAACTCCCTATTTTTAAATGCTTATAACACTTTTATTTTTTTAACGAAATTTAAACAAACTGTGAATTATGCAACATTAATGGGGTTTTTATTCGTCCAACTTCACACTTCCACGTGTGCTCCTTCATTGGTAACACATTTCCTTTAGCGAACAGGTATGTTTCCCACTCTTGATCGTAACACGTGTCGAGGGATGTCGTTAAGAACATTGTTGATTCTTTCTTCCAATTCATTAAGATTTCTGGGTTTGGGTGATGAACTCCCTCTTAAGCCCATCCCCGCAGAAAGAAGTCGCAAGGTGTAAGTTAGGGTTGCGAACTGACTTCACTTTGAACAACTGTCAATTTTTATTCCGACAACCTAGATACACGAAACTTTTTCCGAAAACAAATTTTGCTGCTTAATGAATTGGAAGAAAGAATCAACAATGTTCTTAACAACATCCCTCGACACGTGTCACGATCAAGAGTGGGAAACATACCTGTTCGCTTAAGGAAATGTGTTACCAATGAAAGAGCACACGTGGAAGTGTGAAGTGTAAACGAATAAAAACCCCATTAACTGTTGCATAATTCACAGTTTGTTTAATTAAATTTCGTTAAAAAATAAAAGAGTTATAAGCATTTAAAAATAGGGAGTTACTTATCATACATGACGGCAAGTCGGACCTAGTAGAAGCCTAGTGACCATAATTCTATGGTACATGCACGTTTCTTCGTTTATTAGATTTTCTGCAAAACACCTACTCGGAATCAAGAAATACCGAGAGAAAAGAAGTAAACGAAAACAAAGAATAACGCAATCAAGGTTTCGTGGCACACAAGAGACCCAAATTAGGGAGGGAAACGTAAAGGAGTAGATATTTTACTGCCGATTACTCCAAAATAGGCACGGCGGATATTCGAAAAGCTCCAGAATCACGGGTAGGAGTTGAATGAACCGTAATGATGTGATTAATTCTGTGCTTCATCAAATAGTGCAGCTCTTCCGAATACCAATCAAAACAGCGATTTCCAAAAGACGAGTGAAATTCCAAGCCCTCTCGTCGTTTGCAACGCATCGTTCCTCAACAATGGTATCGAAGGAGTGGATTGTCTCCTTTTCTTTATTCTTTGCATGTGCTCGATGTGCATTCCATTTTCCCGTGTGAGGAGCCCAGGCAGCATCAGACACATGGCATGTCCGCAGTGCGTCCTCCGATGCGAGAACGTACTGCGAACGTACGTCGGATGTCTAATACTGCCTGGGAGGATTCTCGAATAAGGGAACGAGGGAACCAAACTTCCAACAACTCCTTCCGATCTCTTTGTCTCTTATGTTCCCTGTTGAAGCCCATCACTTTCATCTTCCTCTGATCGACTGGTATTTCCCATTTTTCGTAACACTTTTGCAGTCGGTTGAATGCTTTTTGGAGTCCTATCGGAATGACAGTGCAGCATGCAGCGCATCTCCATCTTTTTTTACCTCCATATTTCTTTTACGTGAACAAATATGTATGTTGGGGGAGACGGGATTCCTGCTACTTCGTCTACTTGGAAACCTTTCAAAAGCCACCCCCCCCCCCCCCCCCCCCGCACCTAATTGAGTTCATTCAGAAAGCTTGACTGATACTCATTCGGTCCGGTAATTGAAGACTTCATGAGAACTAGGATATTTTTCGTCGGTCCTCATCTTCCCCCTGTTATTGCACCCCGTGCACGATTATATTCATCGTTTTCGTGGCTCTCTTATCTGATGAAGTTCTCTCCGTTTCTTCCTCTGTCGTCTAATGATAACTTTATCCTTTATCGGCGTTTATTGCTCCTTTTTCCTTCAGCGCATCCTGTCTCGACCAAGTTACGCGGAGAGCACAGAACGCGAGGAGGAGAAAAGCCATAAGCGGGGACGAGAGAGACTAGTCTCGGAGCGCACCTATGCTCCTTCGCGCAGACGGATTTTCTCTCATTGCAAAAGCCGGCCGTAGCCGCCGAAAAACGATGACTGCAAGTGTCAGTGTGAAGCGGTCAGCCCTGCAACTCATTTTCCATCTGTTTCTTTTTTTCCCGACTATTTAGTATCTACCAATAAGTGAAAGCATAATTACTTACAAATGTGAGAGATTGATTGAAGTGGAGAGGACGGCAAATGGTTTATAGAGAGATAAATATTAGGACCCAGAGGCCGGCTTGGGACAATCGGGGCCCTAAGAAGGTCCTCGATAACCTATTTTCTCGGAGACGGATGATAAGGAGCATTTCATCATTTAAGTTGCGCAACTTGCAGCTATCTGAAATTCTGCAGATGTTCCTGCATGAAGATCACCCGAGAGTGAAACTTTCTTCTTCGTGGCTCTTTTCTCCCTTCGAGCATCTTCTACTCCATGATTCATGATTCCTATGCAAAAAGAAGTCCTGCGACGCAAAATTTGAAAAGCCACTACATAGTCTAGTTATAAGTCATAGTATCAACCGACGAAGGGGTATGACTGCTAGAGGGAGCGAGAGAGTAACCAACAGCCACGAGAGCTCGGAAGGTAATGACGTCACCTGAGCGGGCCGCTCAGGTGACGTCATTACCTTCTGGTTTCCGTCTGGTTTTCTGAATTGGACGATTTCATGGCGCGTGCGTATTGCATAGGTGCGCTGAGAATTTCAACCCCCGTATGAATCTCCTCTGGTCTTCATGCGAATTCTCTGCATTTCTCATTGCTTGAACCAGCCTCGTGGTTTTATCTCTGTCGTGGCATCGTTGAGGCTCGGTTTTCTTTTTCCTCCGTCGCCATTACGCCATGTTGATGACTGGCGAGTGAATGGTAAAGTCGCCTATCGCAGAATAAGAAGGAACGGGGGAGAAGAAAGTCAGAATTCCATCGTCCTTGACACCTTATATCAAGTCCCTGAGCAGTATTTCTTTCTCAACGGTGGAGATGTCGCGCTACTCACCTCTGAGCCCTTTTGCTTTCGCCCTTACCTTCCAGGTCACCTGAAAATGCGTTGGCTTATTCCCCCCCCCCTCCCTCCCTCCCTCTCGTGCACCAGAGCCTCGTCTCACGGCGAAGACCGCGAAGGAGAAGGCCCCGGAAGAGGTGTTCTACGATCCCTCGCGAGACGCGTGCCTCCCATGGCCATTCTATGCCGTCAACTGGTCTCCGCACCTTCTTTCGTTTCGCTCAGTCCTCCGACGGTCGCGCGAGAGTGATGCAGTAAAGAGTGCTGCGTTGTCCATCCCGTCCGTAGGATGGTGCTGATCCTTCTCGTCGGCGGTTCTTGGTTCGTCCTCGTCTTCTATGGATCACGGTGAGGAACGGAATGCCTTTTATGTCACTCGGAACACATCACTTCAGGGTTTACTTGACGAGCATGTCGCCAATCGATGCGAAGCGCATCTCGGTTCTCTAGCTCGAGTCTGCTCCTTCGATCACTCTCGAAGGTCGATGTTCCTTCAAGTTGAGGTGGGTGTGCAGTGGTGGAGCGCTATCTAAATGCAGGGGTGGAGCGTTGTCTGGCACCGTCGCCGGGGGGGGGGGGGGGGGGGGGAAGCC